GTTAGGGTTAGGATAAGGGTTAGGGTTAGGTTAAGGGTTAGGATTAGGTTTAGGGTTAGGGTTAGGGTTAGGATAAGGGTTAGGGTTAGGTTAAGGGTTAGGATTAGGTTTAGGGTTAGGTTTAGGGGGGTTAGGTTTAGGTTTAGGTGTTAATTTTAGGTTTAGCGTTTACAGCGTGCTTCTGTCTCCGTGCTGTTGTCACCCTGTGATGACGTCAGCTACGCGGTTTCGTCGAGTGCCCTTTAGTCGAACGCGGTTTTGTGGTGGAACCATTTTTGCAAACTCCCAAGTGGTCTTTCATGCATTTTACACTGAGGAGACGCTTCCATCTAGCCACTCTACCATAAAGCCCAGATCAGTGGACGGCTGTAGAGATAGTTGTCCTTCTGGGATTCTGTCCCATCTCCATACTGGATCTCTGGAACTCAGTCAGTGTGACCGTTGGGTTCTCTCCCATTTACTCAGTTTGACTGGGAGACCAGCGCTTGGAAGAATCCTAGTTTTGACAAACATCTTCCATTTGAGAATTATGGAATCCACTGTGCTCTTAGGAACCTGCAGTGCAGCAGAAATGTTACTGTAGCCTTCCCCAGGTCTGTATCTTGCAATAATCTTTTCTCTTGAGTTCTGGAGGCAATTCCTTTGACCTCATGGTTTTTGCTTTGCCACAGTATGCATTGTCAGGCCTATTATAGACAGGTGTGTATGCCTTCTGTTTGATTTACAAGAGGTTGACTCCAATCGAGGTGTAGAAACACGTCAGCAACTATCAAGAGAAATGGGAGGCACCTCAGCTAAATTTCAAGTGTTGTCGCAAAGGGTCTGAATACCTTATGCCAATCTGATATTTCAATTTTTTTCCCCTTTTTAAAAAGTTTGCAGACATTTCTAAACTTTTGTTTTCCCTTTGTCATTATGGAGTACTGAGTGTAGATCAATGAGAAGAAAAGGAATTTCAATAACTCTAGAATCAGACTGCACCATAACAAATTTGACAAAAATGAAAGGAATCTGAATACTTTCTGAATGTACCATTATTTCTGATTCCAATTTCTGTGGTCATGAACAATTGATCTTAACTGTATTCCCCTATCTCCCCTCAGTCTTCTTTCCAGACTAAATATATCATGCTCCTTTAGCATCTCCTCTCGTAGGATATATCTTCACCCCTTTATTGCCTTTCTCTAAACTCTTGATCTGTCCATATGAAATTGCCCAAAATCATACCTAGTTATTCCATAACTGATCTTAGAATGGCCATACATTTTTGTTCGTACTAATTAGTATATGTATAAACAAGTATTTTGTACATATAAATATTTTCCTACGTTAACTACATTCCACCCTAACCCTTACTCAGTTTATCATGCCAATTACTTCCAATAGACCGATCAGATCCCACAGATTAGGCCTCCTCCGAATTCCATCCGCCGGCCAATGCCGACTGGCGACTACCCNATAACCTGTTCAGTCCCACCTCTCTGTTTCCTGTTCCTGTGTAAGAAATGTATTCTGATTGGTTGTCAGACTCCCATGGGGCCATTCAGGGGCATCTCTCTGGGCTGTGTTTTGAATCCAGGTTTGGTTGAGTTCTCAGAGGCCGTGTGGTCAGTTGGGGCCAATATTATCATGCTTTAATCCCACCCCCCCTGCAGCTGAAGTGGAGAAGTCTTTATTATGTAAAGGGACTAGCTTGACCTACTTAAATGGCCCACTGACAAAGTGGGGATGAGCAGGAAGCTATTCTGCCTTTTAAAACATGTTTATTTCTTTCCACATCCAGAGAAATATTCTGCCTTTTCAATATTTCCTAGGATATTTCATATTTTTTTTCTGGGAGAGGGCTGGGTGATAACTTCCTACGGTTCAAAGCTGTAGCTCCTCGTTCCCTCAGTAGCATTAAAGTTGCTACCTACAGCTCCATTTTCCTTCTCAAAAAGAAAAAAAAGGCAGCTATAAAATGGGATTTGGGAAGTCCTGCTTCTCACCATCACACACACACACACACACAAGGACACAACACATAAACGGATTTCCTTCAGGTAAAAAAAAAAACTTCCAAATTGAAACTGAGCACATTCGCCCAGGGACGCTGAGGGAAAACGTGACCCTACTCGCCACAAACGGTTTCCAGAAAACGCTCAAGGGGACGCGCATGCGCGCAGGCCCTCCGCGAACCACGCGCCGAGTAAACAGCCCCGTCATGTGAAAGCGGGCCCCGCCTGCCTCCTTGCTCTCCCTTCCTTCGACCCCCCCCCCCCCCCGCCAAGTGAGCTTAGAAGGCAAGCGCGGGCATGCGCCCGAAGGGCCAAGCCAGCGGCGCGTGCGAGAAACGGAACGAACCACTTCCTCGCTCCGGGGAGGGGTGGGGGGGAGGAAAAAACAAAATGGGCGGAGGAGAGCGAGCGAGAGGGTAGAAGAAACCCGGACGTGGTTCCTGGAGCCAGCCAAGCAGTAACAGCCACCACCACCCCCACACACGCTCTGTCTCCGCCCCCTTCCAGCCCTCCCTCGTGCCCTTCCACTTCCGCACAGGCAGCCTTCCTCCCCTCCCCTGGCCTGGGAGGGTTGCGGAGCCCAGAAGAGACAGACGTAAGCGAGGGGGGGGGGCGGGGGAGGAAAAAACCCCCCAGTGCAACAATCACCTGGCCGAGCGAGGGAGCGCGAGTCCTCCTGGGCCAACACAGGTAAATATGTCGTTATTTGGGCGGGGGGGGGCTTAGATTCGCGGCCTACGAAGGCGAGTCGTATCGGGGGGGTGCCAGTTGACGATTTGGGAAATGCGAACGCGGCCTCTAATCTCCTCCCCCCTTCTCCCCCCCCGGTTGTCGTCGACTCGGGGCAACGAGCCTCGGCTCGAACGTCCAACATCCGGGGCTTCTGCTCCCCTACTGTTTGCCTCGTACCGCTATGCTTCCAATTGGCCCGCCCTCCTTTCTCCGGCCTCTTCTTCCTTGGCCACGCCCCTTCGCTTGTGCGCTGGTTACTGCTGGGGCGGGGGGGGGGCTCCCAGTGGCTGTTGGTTCCCCCCCCCCCACAAGGTGATGGGACTGGAGTGGGAGATGGGACTGGAGTGGGATGGGCCAACTGGGGACTGGGGGGGGGGTTTCTGCATCTGAAGGATGGCGTGTTATTTTGAGCGCCCTCTGGGCACTCCAGGAGTAGCCGCCCCCCTTACATACGACGGTCTGTCTGTGTGCCCTGCTTAACAACCTCAACTGCCAACTTGCCATTTCTCTAGTTTTCCCGCTAATCCTTCGCAGGGTCATTTTTAAAAATTATTTTGGCAGGTAACACTGGAGCAAAACATTTGTTCTGAACCGNCCGACAGGCCTGGGGCTAAAGAACCGTTGCCCCCGTCTCGAATGGTATGATTGTTGTGTGTTTTTAAATCATGTATTGTTTTTGTGTTGTTGTTAATTTGTCTGTATCCCTCCTTTCCCTGGTTTGAGTTGTGAGCCGCCCTGAGTCCCCCTTCGGGGGAAAAGGGCGACATATAAATGAAATAAACATTCAAACATTCATTCAAACATTTATTAAATATTATGTACAGTGTGATTTTTGCAGCAATTCAAAGCCATATTTCCCAACTTGGGCAACTTTTAGGATGTGCAGACTTTTAACTATTAGAATTCTTAGCAATGGACATGCTGGGGGATGGAGGGGGAATTCTGGTAGTTGACTTCCACACAGGTTCCCAGTTTGGGAAATATTGGCTTAATGGATATCACAAGATTTCATGCTTGTACATCCCATTCCCTTTGAATTACCATTATATCAAAAATCACCATTTGAGAGACACCATGACTGTAGCGCTTTATTAATCTTGTTGATATTCAATTTCTAAGGAGCCACTAGATTTTGCTATTTTTGTTGCAACAGCCAGAATAACTTGCTTCTGGGCGTTGTTCCAATTGAATAAACTGTATGTAGCTGTATAATGGTGTGATCCGTTATGTTAAAAATATCTCTTTCTACTCATTGAAAAGAATACATATTCTAACTTGGTTTTAGGGATTCTAAAGTTTGCATAATAAAACGTTACTTCTAATCATGTACAATCTTACACTTACAAAGTTCACCAAAACTGCATTTATCATGTTCAGTACTGTAATTCCTAGAGAGGTTTACCAAACTGATTTTTTTTTCTTTATAGAGTTACTGACCAGCATTTTATACTGGTAAACTGTAAAAGGGTTTAAATAGCAAACAGGCTTTTTTTTTTTTAGCACCTGGATGATCCTATTTGAATCTTGGAGCCAAATCAAGGCAGGCCAGATTAGCCTTTGAATAACAGACCACCAGAGGATCCCATGTCTTCAAGTTGGAGTGCGAAGCCAAACTGTAACAGCAATGAACTTAACTACTGTTACCAAGAAAACTGATTTTGTCTATGTAATCACCAGGAATAAGGCTTGGCTTGAGGACAATTATTGTTTATACAGTGCCTTAGCAACAACTGTTCACATAAACAAGTAGGCTTGTCACGGGGAAAATAGGGAATCTAGCTCAAATGGCAGAAAATTCTTTAAGACCAAGGTGGGCAATTATGGTCGTTTTCCAAGCTGTGGGCTTGAACTCTCAAAATTCCTTAGCCAGCCACTTCTCTGTTTGCAGTGGCTAAGTTTTGGAATATGGTAATGAAAATTGGACTTTTTATATTTTATTTAGCATTCTCTGTATTCAAATGCACCTGTTTAGTCATCTTGAAATCAATCTACTTTTTTTTGTCTGTGTTTCTTAAAGTTTGGTCCACTGAATTCTTGGATGGATCTTCCAAGATCTTCTCAGGGGTCTGTGAAATCAAAATTATTTGCCAGATGCTGAAGATGCATTTTTGAACGTCATACTTCCATCGTTTTTATTTAAAAAAGGGTTTTTTTCATGTAAAAATATATTTAACGGTTAATATTATTACCTAATTCAATAAATATAACATTCTACAAGTGTAACTCTTAATTTTTAATAGGATAAAAATAGATGAATATAACCCATAGAAACAATCACTTTGGGGTTCTCCATATTTAGGGGTCCTGACAATGAAGTTTCGGAAACACTAGTTTATGCTTTCTTTGAGGACAGCCCACATACGGTTTATGTGTGGAAATATTTTTAGTTCTTTAACTTAAGCTGTACTTGAGGGATGCTATTAATGAGAATTCCTTAGGTTTAACTATTCAGGTAATTATGAATTCACCTAACTAATGCTTTACTCATGGATGACTAGCTGGTGGTTCTATTGAGGTCCAAGTATAGTGTCTGTGGCCTTCATGTGAATTATTAGAAATTCTACTGAAGGGGATATTATTAGTCAGGCACTTGATTTTGATAAACTGTATTGACTCCTGTTTAAATGTAACATGCCAATTCAAGCTCTCACAAACAGCTTGCTTGATATCTGTTCAAGGACTTTGCTCAGTGTAGACATGAAGTTTTCAAAGGTTACTGAGAACAGTTCTTGGATCAATTCTGCTCAATTATTGAACTATCCCAGGATATAATCCATGTGGCTCAGGAGACACATCCATTTACATTAGGTGGTTCTTTATTATTCTCTCCTTCTATGTTCTGATGAAAGAAATGTCTTTCTGGGTTCGGCTCCAAGCGGGGGGAAAAGACACTGGAGACATGGAGGCTGCTTGGAAAGATGGTTTATTGGTGGACAGGACCTCATGGCTTGAGCCCT